GTGGCGCAAGTGGTTAAAGGTCCTCACCTTGCATGCCCGGGATCCCATATGGGCGCCAGTTCTAATCCCGGCAGCCCCGCTTCCCTTCCAGCTCCCTGCCTGTGGCCTGGGAAAGCATTCGAGGACCGCCCAAAGCTTTGGGAACCTGCACCCGCGTGCGAGACCCGGAAGAGGCTCCTGGCTTCGGATTGCCCATTGCGCTCACTTGGGGAGTGAATCATCGGACGGAAGATCTTCCTCTCTGTCTCTCCTCTCTGTATATCCGCCTTTCCAATGGAAAAAAAAATAATAAAAAAAAATGGGGGCAGTAACTAGTAACTCTTTCTTCCTTTCTCCACCTTCACAATATGGATATGAGACTATGCTTTTCAGAGTCATCAGCTTGCTACATCCAATTGTCAGCTTTTATCTTACTTGGTGTCTCAACAGCATTAGACTGATGTTGCCTCACCCATTCTTGAATCTAATGCTTCATTCTGGAAACTTATTTTTTAAAAATCTCTGGTCATTTATCTCCCCTACCTTTTTTTTTCTCACCTGCTAGCCATTCCTTCTGGGAGTCTTCATGCTGTTTGCTCCCTGTCTTCCTAACTAGTACATTGTGAAACACTCTAAGGCTTCTCTACCTTTAAAGATATGTACTGCTAGACTTATAAGCCAGTTTAGACTACCCAAAAAACAGCCAGGTTCAGCAAAATTATGCTTCAATGCTATAAACTGCTAAATACTATAGTGAAAATAGACACGAGACAGCTGAATAATAATCTATAACCTTTTTAAGGCATATAGAACCCGGTTGTATATAAACTAATAATTGAAATGTCAATGAAGAAGTCATAAGATGTAGTTAAAAACTTGAATTTTTTTTTTAACATATTGGTTACTCAATACTATGTCAATTAATTCCATAATGTTATAAATTGTTGCTGATGTTATGTTGGGGCTTTTAATTGATCGGGATGATACTCTGCTGGCTCTACCTTCAGACCAGAGATGGTCTCCCCAAGAAGCCATTGAACTTACCTGGACAATAAGATACTAGACTCTATGCTTGGTATATGCTTGCAATGAAAGAACCCCAACTGAACTTGAACTGTGGCAATGCAGCAAGGTGGAGGAATCCACCATGGGGGAAGGGTTAGAGGAGGGGTGTGGGGAATCCTAGTGCCTATGAAACTCTGTCACATAATGCAATGTAATTAATAATTAAAAAATGAAATGCAAAAAAAAGATATTTATTTGAAAGAGTGAAAGAGAGACAGAGAAACAAAGGGAGAGAGAAAGAGAGAGCATTCCATCTGCTAGTTAAGATGTTTAATGGACATCTCAGAATCTACTTGGCTTAACAAACAAAAAACATTTCCCCGACTTGGGCTTTATCATCTCAGATGCGCTTGCTACCAACAATTCACCCACTTGATGCAAAAGCTGTGTCCACTCTCTCCCTCCCATGCCAACCCACCTGCATCAGCAAGTCTTAATGGGTCTGCCTCCAAAGTACACCTGTCAGTTTTCTGCATCCTGACTGCTATCACATTGGTACAGGCCACCAACTCTCTCAACAGATGTCTGCAATAAGCAGGATGTCCCCTCGCACTTCCCCTAATGTCTACTTCCTAAGCTGCAAGTAAACAGTCTTCAAAGTGCAGGTGTGGTGTGTCTCTCCACTGTCTAGAACCTTCCAGTGATTTCCACCACCTCCCGAACCAATAGGCCCCCGGGGTCTGCCCATGCTTCCTCTCTTAGTTCCTCCCCTGCTACTCTTACCTGAAATGTTTGGTTTTAGCGACAATGGATTTCTCTTTTTTGCCCTATTTTCTATATACTGTAAGCTTTAGATTGTAGAGTGCTTTAGGATTTTAATTCCAGCTATCATTTTCTCTAAAATGCACACTCCCTGCATTTTCTGTCAGCCCCTCTTCATCATTCAGGCACCATCTAAGCTGAACTTACTTAATCCAGTCCACATTCCTACATCACTCTCATAGGAAATTATACTGCTTATTCATTTTTTAGCTACCTGTTGCTCCTTAGTACGCTGTGAACTACACTGAGAGTTTAGCTTTATAGATTCTCCATTGTCTGAAACACTGCCTAACAAGTGGCAAGTGCTCAAGTTAATTGTTGACTTGTATCAACATTGAAAGCCACTTAATGTGAACCATCATTCCAAGGTTAAAACTCTTAGCTAAAGATCTGATAAGTATATGACTCAGCTCAGTCAGTAACTGCAATCTCTCTCCTGAAACAGGTAATTTCTCCCATTTAAGGCTCTGGATTATTGGAAAGCCCTCCCTCATTTTCAAGTTGGAATTTGATACCCTGTAGTTGCCATATACTTGAGGCCTCTATGTTCATGCAGAACGTGTGGTTTCTCTTCTACATACAACAGTGCTTTAGTTCTAGCCTTCTCACTTCTTCACTTCGGACATTGGGGAGCCACTGTACCATCTTCCCACACCCCAACTTCTGGATCCTAATGTAGTCACATACTTAATTACTGGACAGACATTCCATGAATTCTACTTTGGCCCAATTTATAACTTTTCATCCAAAAAGATCAATCTTCCATACTGAGGTGGCTTGATTTAAGTGAACCATTATCTCCTTCTAGTTCATGTTCACATCAAATCTTTCAAACCATTCAGCGCTTACTACTTCTGTATTCTTGGTATAACACAGTCATTTCACATATTCTTCCTGGAGTTCCTGACACCCTGACACAGTTTAGCTTTTCCAGCACAGAATGCCTGTCCCTTTTTGGGAGGAAGACTTTGGCCTGCTTTCTTGCATGAAAGTTCTGATTTTCGACAAATACAAACATAAATTACAAGCTCCTTTAATCTTTAGAGCCAGCGTGTTGGCACAGCAAGCTAATTCTCTGTCCTACGGTGTCAACATCTCATGCTGGCTCTGCTTCCTCACCCAGCTTCTCTGCTTCTGATCCAGCTGCCTGCTTATGTCCTGGGAAGGCAGGACAGAATAGTCCAAGTTGTTGAGACCTGGAAGAAGACTCTGGCTTCAGATCACCTTGAATCTGGCCATTGCAGGCATTTGGGGAGAGAATCAATAGAAGGAATGCCTCCTCTCTATCTCTCCTTCTCTATAAATTCTGCCTTTTAAACAAAAATTAAAAAGCAAACAACAAAAACAAAAAAAAAAACTTCATTAATTTCCACATAGGTAATCAAATTTATCTGAGGCAGACTGGCAACACTTCCTTTTTTATATATTTTTATTTGAAAGACATACATACACATATGTCTTCCATCCACTGGTTCACTTTCCAAATGGCTCCAAGACTTGCATCGAGGCCAAGTCAAAGATAGAACAATGAAATCCATCCAGCTCTCCCCTGTGGACAAATATTACTCAAGCACTTCAGCTTCCCGAGTACATCACCAGGGAATTGGGCTGGAAGCAGAAGAGCCTGTATTGGAACCAGCAAGAGCTTTAATCTGCTGTTTACCTGCCAGCAAAATTTCTAACCAGCAGCATGGGAGTCATAAGGGGAGGATCTTCAGTGGCCACCATCAGAATAAACCTGAAGCTAAAAGAGCCCATCCTGGTACCCATGCCTGCACTGACTGCTGTGCGCAGGAAACCCCAATGTTATTCACTTACCTCCTCCTCTAAGAATAGCCAGAGAAAACAAGAACTGCCCCAAATCAGAATAAGAGTTACATGGTACACGGTGATACATTTTTAAAATCATCTGTAGTTTAATTTTAATCCCTTTGCTCCAAATACATTGGCATTTCACTTAAATCATTTATGTAATGTTCACTGGGAAGTTGAAGACTTAATAAAGAAACCTAGTATGGTCATTTGAAAATATTCTGTGTTTCAGCAGTATGTTAACATTTCGGTAAAGACAGAAACCTTAGGGAAGCAGACCAAAAAATACAATGGGATTAGCTACTGTGAAATACGAAGTTTAGGCATATGCCAAAAAAAGAGCAAAATGGTAAGAATCAACAGTATGTTATTAGCTGTGATCTAGGGACAATTATCAAATTTCTAAAATCCACAGGCCTAATTTACAATGATGAGTCTAAAAAATCGCATATGCTGAGAAGTAACTTCTGATAAAATGCTTCATGGGATCATTCTACTGCTTTTCGGTCTCTGATCACGGTCTAATTACTGGTCTCAATAGACTGAAAACATCCTATCCTTAGTTTTTCCCTGCTTGTTAATAATGTGGCAAATATGTGCCTTTACAAAATTAACTTAAATGCTCTAGTTACATTTAGTTTTTTAAACATTGTCCCTTTAGCTCTTAGCGGTGTTCCTAGTTGTAAACTATAAACAGAGCCAATGTGTCATATACTCATCTAGAACTAGATGATTTTAAAGAAAATGTTGACATCTGTTATCCTTTTACATCTTCATTTCATCCCTGAAATAATGTATATTTTGTCTACCTCTGGTAGAAAAATGTGGAACACGTCACCTCACCTAATACAGTTATCTCTTAATGTCCATTCTGAGTCCTGGTTGTTTCAAAACTGCTGTTAGGGGGCCGGCAGCATGGCCTAGCGGCTAAGGTCCTTGCCTTGAACACGCCAGGATCCCACATGGGCGCTGGTTCTAATCCCGGCAGCTCCACTTCTCATCCAGCTCCCTGTCTGTGACCCTGGAAAGCAGTTGAGGACGGCCCAAAGCCTTGGGACCCTGCACCCGTGTGGGATACCCGGAAGAAGTTCCTGGATCCTGGCTTCGGATTGGTGCAGCACCGGCCATTGCGGTCACTTAGGGAGTGAATCATTGGACGGAAGATCTTCCTCTCTATCTCTCCTCCTCTCTGTATATCTGACTTTGTGATAACAAATAAATAAATCTTAAAAAAAAAATAAATAAATCTTAAAAAAAAAAAAACCTGCTGTTAGGAATGCTTTCCCCTCTTTCAATCACCAGAGTTGTCCTTTCAGGAACCTCCACCAAATGCAGTTTTGAATTAAAAACAAGCAGCATACTCAATACAAAGCTCAACTTACAACACTGTGTGATCTTCTGGATGTTGGAAGAGATGCGCTGGGCCAGCTGGGCAGGGTCTCCAACGATTCCTGGAGTGTAAGACATGGCTGATCTGCTAATTTCATCAGCTGTTAGTCGGCTGTGTAGATTTCAAAGTAGTCACCTGAAGAACATAAAGGAAAATCAAATAGCTCTAGGAAGTGAAAAGACATTTTTCAAAAGAACAAATTCAGATGGCTAACAGACATATAAAAAAAAAGCTCAGGCTCCCAAGCCATCGAGAAGATACAAATGAAAACCACATTGAGGTTTCAACTAACTCCAGTGAGAGTGGCCTACGTTCAGAACTCTACTAACACCTGCTGGCATGGATGTGAGGAGAAACGCATCCTCATTCACTGTTGGTGGGAGTGTAGGCTAGTACAACCACTATGGAAGTCAGTATGGAGAGTGCTAAAAGAACTGAAAATTGATCTGCCATATGACCCAGCTATCCCATTCCTAGGAATACAACCAAATGAAATAAAAATTGCATATAAGAAAGGAATCTATAATCCCATATCTACAAGCAGCACAATCTACAACAGCAAAGAAATGGAAACAACCCAGATATCCACCCAAAGAGGAGTGAGAAACTGTGGTACATCTTACTCCATGGAATACCACTCAACCATTAAAAAGAATGCAATTCTACAATTTGTGGCCAAATGGTCCCAACTAGAGAACATTATGCTCGGTGAAATAGGTAAATTTCAAAAAGGACAAACAGCATACGTTCTCTCTGATACAAGGCAACCTTAATGCAAATTATAAGATCAACAACCCTCTCAATACTGTTTTTGCTGCAAACCATGCGTTTCCACATTGTTTTTATTTTCATTTCTTCAAAATCGTTGCTTATATTAAATTCTTCACTGACTCATAAATCACACAGTAGCACCGTTTTCTCCAAGAAGCTTTTTGTATTTTCTTTTTCATTTCTTCATGGACACATTGGTCATTCAGTAACATGTTACTTAACTCCGTGGTGCTCTAAAATTTGTTTTAACTTTATTCTTGTTGACTTAGTTTCATGGCTTCTCATTTAAGGAAATGTATAGTAATTGCATAATAAATACTATCATATCCAGATGAGAAAATATCATGCAATACACATCTCTACTTCCAAATCAAAGATGGACTCACAATGAGACTTTTGGATGTATCTTGACAATAGGATGCTGAACTAGCTGCCATCATCTGTGTCAGCAATGTCAGGACACACTTAAGTAACAGAATGATGGACTTGTGACTGCTTATGACAGACTAGCCTATTGTAATAATATGGAGGAAATCAGTTGGGAGGGAGGGAATTTGGGGAGGTGTTAGGGGAAATCCCAGAGCCTATGGGATTGTACCATAAAATGAAAAATAAAGTAGAAAAAAAGTGAATTTTGGCTTACATTTTCTAAATTATCAATCTGGAAGGTTACAAAGACAAACCTGACTAAGGGAACAGGGCTGGCATCAGGAAATCGGTGCATTAAATAGTAAAACTCTCATGTCTATTAAAAAAAAAAAAAAACTGCACTTTTAACGGCAGGCTCATGTTAACAAGTTTAAGCACTAAAATGAGGACCATACAGCATATTCCCTTTGCAAACTTCCTTGGATTATTAAATCCCTTCTCTGTGTAGAAGTTTGTAAATTCAGTTTGCTCCCTGACCTGAACTACAAGTAGCGGCAAGGCAAGGTCCACATGCACACATCTTTCCTTAATATTTAAAACAGTCGTTACCACGAAACAGGCATTTAAAGAACTTAGAAGGAATACAGGCTTCAGGCTTCTGAAACCCCTCCGAAAGCTCATGATGCCTAATTTAACACACACAGGAGCAGCTCAGGAACCTCTGACTCACAGGTCTCGAATGTTGATGGAAAAAAGTTAAAGCAGCAGACCCAACTACCGAGCAGCAAAAGAATGTCCTGAAAAACCACATCACATTTTCCCAACAGAACATAAACAAGCCACTTTCCAGCAGCCACCATTTGGGAATAGAAGGCAAAGCTGGGATGCTGCCACAGAAACGAATGAAATGCAGTTCTTCATTTTCCCACTCCACTCCCCTCTGCTCACTTCCACTCGACAGCACTCTGCTCCACTCATTACCCAGACTTTGAAAAGAAGGTTGTGAAGGGATATTCTGTATGTATACAGTTGTGAAGAGCAAAACACTACAAGTACTCCTACATTCATCTTTTTACTGACTATGCAGTGGCATATTGCTGTCAACCTCACCCGTAAGTGAGCGGTATTAGTTTTGATTTAATGATGAGAAAACTATGGATTATAAAGATGAATTAACTAGATCTAAATGGAAAGCCTGAAACTCTCAGACCAGATGAAAATATTGGGGAAACACTTTAAGACACAGGACTGGACAAGGGTTTTGGACTCAGATCCCCAGAGCACAGAAAAAGGGTATTTCATCAAACTAATGAGTTTCTACCAACAAAGCAAATAATTAAGAGAGTAAAGAGACAACATATACAATGACAGAAAAAGGTTGCAAGCTAAATATTTGAGAAGGGGTTAGAATATATAAGGTAAGCCCACAACTCAATAGCAAAAGAGGGGAAAAAAAAAACCTCCAAATAATCCAATTAATAATAGACAATTCAGGGTGCACATGGTGTGTGGCAGTTTAGTGATCAACTGAGAGGCCACTCATATCACAGAGCCTGACTGAGTCTGACTCATCCGTTTCTGATTCAGCTTCCTGTTACTGTACATGTTGCAAGCCAGCAAGGGAAGGTTCAAGTACTTGGGTACTGGCTTTATTCTCTTAGCACATTTTCAAGGGCCTCCAAGTTGTAATAAGTTTCAGTATGTCATCCCTTCTTATTGCCAAATAATATCCCACTGTATGCATAACACGCTATTCTATTGGCACAATGATTTCTCTTTGTCTCCTTTCCCCCATCCACAGTATCTTACAACCAACACATATGTAATGTCTGAGAAAAGACTCTTTCTTATTAATGTAATTTCTTGCGAACTGCAATGTGCATATGGCTCCATTTTAGCCTAAGCATGCATGAGTCTCATAGCCATACTTCCAAATCATATTCAACTCTCTCTGTTGGCTCCATGTCTTTGAAGCTACATAAACAACTCCCTGTTTAGCTGCCAGTGGAAGTGGCAACCTTGGACAAGACAGTTAGTAGTTGGGTTGCTGCCAGAATCAAAATGAGATAGTGTCCAGAGACCAAGTGCCTTTTCATCTCTCAGGAAGGAAAGGTCTGTTTTGATCCTTCCCTATGTCTAGCCAGCATCAGCCAAGACTGGGCAAATGTCATCTACGTTAGAATCAACACAATCATCTGAGGCTCCCTTTCCCCCACACAGTGAGTGAATTATTGGTCTGAGAAGAGTAGGATAGTTCTTTCCTTAATCCTCAAAACTCATGCAAATGTAACCTAACCCTTCTCACTGTCCTCATTTCAGGCACCTTTTTGCCTCTCCAGGAATTTATTGGATTTCCCTCATCCCTATACTCAAGCAACTACACTTGACTATATTCCTGTTAGTGAGAGAACGAGGCTTTTTCAACCAAGGAACTGCTAGTCTTGGTTGGTGTGGAATTTAGGGAAAAGGCACAGGGCTGCTCACTTCAGTTAAGTTTTGAGTGAACAATGAAAAGCAATCTAGGAATGATGGAGGAGAAAGGAAATGAAAAAATATTAAAAGATTAACATTGGCTAACACTTATTCAGGACTCAATATTTTTTTTCTAATTAATTTATTTTTGTTGGAAAGTTAGATACGTACAGACAGAAGGAGATAGAGAGAAAGATCTTACATCCGTCAGTTCACTCCCCAAACGGCCGCAATGGCCAGAGCTGAGCTTTTTTTATTCCCAGTTAATTTGTGCATGAAGTCTAGCAGGCTGAGTGACTTAAGAAATTGAAACATAATGCGATTAACTTATTTTAAGATAAGCAGAAGGAGTAAATACTAGAAACTAAGACGTAACAAAAGTTCACACTTAAAAAAAAGTAATATGGGGGCTCGGGGCTGTGGCTCCACAGGCAAATCTTCAGCCTGCTAGTGCAGCGGTATCCCGTAAGTGCATAGGTTCATGTCGTGGCAGTCCACTTCCCATCCAGCTCCCTGCTTACGGCCTGGGAGTAAGGGCCCAAAGCCTTGGGATTCTGCACCTATATGGGAGACTCGAATGAGGCTCCAGGCTCCTGGCTTTAAATTGGTTCAGCTCCAGTCATTGTGCTCATTTGTGGGAACGAATCCGTGGATAGAAGATTCTCTCTCTTTGTCTCTTTTTCTCTCTGTAAATCTACCTTTCAAATAAGAATACAAGCATTTTAAAAATTAATATTGTTTTCCTACAAAGCAAGATTAAGGACAGGTTGATTGACCCAATTAAAAAAAAAAACAAAACAATTCCCCACCTTTGATTTGATCCCCAATTCTCTGAAGATGAGCAAGCAGATTCGGTATACTTATGTGAGTCAGTCAAGCAGTACAACTAAAGAGCATTCTTGTTTTCGCTTATTCTACTAATAAGTGGTATCTAAAAGTCAACAATGATTGGCTCTCCTGATGGTAGAGCAGCAGAAATAAGGAAAAAAATGACTAACTTTACTACAAAAATATGCACACACAAATAGTTAACTATAAACTGACCTAGAAGTTTATGAACTTTGCATGCTAAACTAATGGCAAGTTTTTCCACTGTTTGTTTTGCACCTCTGTTCTCAGGATCTCGCTCTGGCTGGCATGGGCTACCCCACTCTCAGGAAATCCCTTTCACGGTCCATCTGGAATTCCTCCTTTGACTCCTCAGAGTAATAATTACATTATCTGGACCTGCACTGACAGAATAGTCACAAACTCTCTAAGCTATTAAAACTGCAATTACATGAAAGGAAAAATTCACTCCTGAGTCATAACAGCAACCTTTTAAGCTTTCAAAGATTGCAGGTGGCCAGCATCCAGCAGCCTGGACAACGCTTGGACCATCCTTTTCCATGCTTGCTGAAAGTTCTATTGCATGATGCTGACCTCATCACCTGGGTAATTACAAAGAGAAAAGAGGGCAGGGAACATCAAAGCCAGCACTCACCACACAGCCTTCTGGAGGCTGTGACCCAAGAACGCACACACAGGGAACAAAGGCAACCTGCATGACAGACACTGCCCCCACTGCCAGTGGCCACTTTCAGGAGCCTTCAAGATTTTCAGTAAGCATACTCCTCATATGCTATAAATGGAGCCTGGACAAAGTGGTCAGTTTCACTTTCTCAATCACTGACACCAGCACAGTGGATTTGCCTCCACAGTGTATCCCAGAACGCATATTTTTGGAGTCTGGGAAGGAAGATGCATTTTTGCCTATTTTGTGGACTGTTCTGTTTTCAGATTCAGGCTACATAGTAAATGCTTAATAAACATGTATGGAACGGGGCCCAGCGTAGTAGCCTAATGGCTAAAATCCTTGCCTGCCATGCACTGGGATCCCATTGGGGCACTGGTTCTAATCTCAGCTGCCCCACTTCCCATCCAGCTCCCTGCTTGTGACCTGGGGAAAGCAGTTAAGGATGGCCCAAAGCTTCAGAATCCTGCACCAGAAGAAGCTCTGGGCTCCTGGCTTCAGACTGGCTTAGCTCTGGCTGTTGTAGCTGTTTGGGGAGTGAATCAACAGACGGAAGATCTTCCTCTCTGTCTCTCCTCTCTGTATATCCGCCTTTCCAATAAAAATAAACTAAATCTTAAAAAAAAATAAAGAAATGCTCTGAAGTATCCTCATACTACCATTTCTGAAGCACTGGAGATGGAGAAAGGATGCCCCAAGGCCACGGCTTTCCTGTGTTGATGCCATTTCCTGCCTCTGGAATTTCTTCCTTGTGATCTGCAGGGGACTGACTTCTCCCAGGAGTCATCACATGCAAAGGAAGCCAAATCTGAAGTGAGAATGCACCACTCCTGCCCCTCCAACCTTCTTTCCCACTGCTCCCCAACACTCATGCCTACCAGAAACACTGCAGTTGGTGTTGCTGTCTATCCTCACCTGTGGAACATCAACAGGAGAGACTCAGCCTTGCCAGCCTGTGCCATGGGCAGTGCCAGCTGCACAGTGGATACTCAAGGGAGAGTGCTAGCGCTCAGTGCAGAGCCCAGATTCCCAACAGGACCCACGGCGTGTGCAAACTCGGCTCACCACCCCCATAGTCTCTCTTCACTTTAAAAGGGTTTCACCCTCACCTTGGCACACATTACACTTTCAAATTACACGGAACCACGGGAAAACCTTATTCAGAATTGCTGCAGACATTTTATATAATTTCTTCTTCAACTGCCAGAACTTGGCTGAAGTTTGGGAACATAACTAAAATTAGAATTGACTTGGTTACCCGCAGCAAATATAAAATATCTGAAGGAAAATGACACAGACTTTGCAGAAGTGAATGTGTGATCGCCCAGCAGCTCACTAGACACCTTCAAGCTGCAGCCTCATTTTTAACTGGTCACATGTCTGAGGTTCACCCACATCACAAGGCTCGCCGTAACATTTTCTTGTCCTCTCTGCCCAGGTGCAGCTCAGGGCAGCTGGAACACCCACCTGCAACATTACTAAACACTACCCCATTGCATAATCACTTCCTTTTCTTCCAGACTCGGGGCAAGACTGAAATGATATATAAACTGCAGTTGAAATACAACAATCTGAAGTACGAAAATAAATATACAACTGGAAGACCCAAGTAGATCTGAGAAATAGGACAGAAAAAAAAACATAGCATTTGCCATAAAGGCAGCGTTTTCACACATTCCCTCACTTTGTCTACATTTAAAGAGAGCAGAAAAGGAGACAGGGGTTGAGGGAGTTAGAGGGTGGTTGGAATTCTTAAAATATTTTATGCCTTTTCAAAGACCATTTTGTAGCCAATTTAAAAAAAAAAAAAAACACTTGCACTAAAAAAAAAGTTGCCATGTCAAAGTCAAATGGAAAAAGCAAGCACAGGGAGCCACTCAACACACGACTAGGATCTGTCTAGGACAAGCATTCCTTTCGGTTCCCCCGTTTTCAGGAAGAGAAGTTTAAAATGTGTGTTTTGAACCCATGAGTTGGAAGGAGGAAGAAGGCTGCGGGTCAGTGGCTCTGACCCCGGGAGAGCAGCGCCGAGAGGCTCAGGGCGCAACTGGCCGAGCTGGCCAGGCCGGCTGACCCGTCCGTCTGCAGCCAGAGCGCCCGGGGGTCTGGGCCGGCGTCCACCCCGCAGCCCCGGCCAGGCCTGCCCACCCGTCATTCTGCAGCCAGAGCGCCCGGGGGTCTGGGCCGGCGCCCACCCGCAGCCCCGGCCAGGCCTGCCCACCGGTCCTAATGCAGCCAGAGCGCCCGGGGGTCTGGGCCGGCATCCACCCCGCAGCCCCGGCCAGGCCTGCCCACCGGTCCTTCTGCAGCCAGAGCGCCCGGGGGTCTGGGCCGGCGCCCACCCGCAGCCCGCACCGGCTCTCCGCCCAGCCAACCCGCCGCAGAGCCCAGGGCGGCGGCCGTCCGTGGCTCAGGGAAGCCACGGAGCAGGTGACACTGCGCTCCGGTCGCCCAGCCAGGGCCCCCTGCCCTAGGCTTCTCTTACCCTGACCTCCTGGGCCTCCTGCCCCTCCTGCGGCCACTGTCACCCAGGGCCCCAGCCCCGGGCTGCACGCTCAGCTGATGGGCGGCGGCGCAGCAACGCCCACTGCGCATGCTCCCAGGGAACCCCAGCACGGAGGCGGGGCCGGCGATGCTATCTCCTCTCCCATTGGCCCAAGGAACTGATTGACAGAGACCCTCTCCCGGCCCCTCTGGTTGCCAGCGAAGGAATGGAGGGACCAGCAAATTGCAGGGGACAGCCCTTTGAAGCCTAGTGTAGGGACGGCGGGTGCCGTAGCCTGCGTGCAGAGAAGAGGAGGAAATGAAGGGCAATCGTCTTTTTGATCGAGTGACTTCCTGGACTCGTGTCTTCACCCCTTCCCATCAGCTCCTGTCTTCTTTCCTCACCCTTAACTTGGCAATAAATCGGACACACAGCTCCATTCTAAAATGCAAACGCAGATACGCCATCCTAGCAGGAACAATGCAAGAATAAAGGAAGTCACTCATGGACAGATAGTTTTCGTTGAACATACAAATCATGCCAGACGTTTTTTCAAGGCAGGGAAAAACCTTTGCAAACTTTAAAACCAGCAGCGCATGTTCCAATAATAAATATTCAAGCAGAACGATTACCGTGAAGAAGCATCTGCTCTGTCAAGAGAAATACCTTGGCAAATCAATTAAAATTAGACTGCTTCGTACTTTGCCTGTATCAAGACAACGCTAAATTCCGAAAAGATTATGAGGTTAAATGTTATCAAAAGTCCAGGAGGAACTGAGGGGGGAAAGGCACACAGATACTATTTTGAACAAGTTGCTACCAAAAAAGGGGGGTGGGGGGAGGTTGGTATAATACTTGTGCATTATATCCACGAATAAGGGCCAGTCTTAACCTCTATACAGCAGGATCAACAGAAAGCGATGGGCTGGCTAGTTGAGCAGAGGGCACAAGCCCACCTAAAGGCAACGTGACCCAGCCGTGATCAGTGTGAATGTTTAAGAATATTGGCCCAACGAAGACAAATCACCTGCATTTTAGGACATGGTAGAAATGTGTGTAAGAGAGAGATGTGTGGAATCTCCTTTTTTGATATTCTCACGTTGTTAGCAAAACATTCTATGATCAGACAAAATGCACATTTGAACTCTTGTAGAAGGCAATATTGCCAACCACAAAGCCGAACAGGCCCTTTAACTTGCTCACTCTGCAAATTGAGGAAACGGAAACCCCCGAAATGATGAAATCCCAGATCAGTATGACCTACACAGATGCAGCTGTCCTAACTCAGAACCTAGAATCCCTCCTATCATGTTGTTCTGTCAGTGATTCGTAGAGATCCTCACATTTCAATGACTGTGACGGGACTGCGGACATCAAGATGATTAAGGTGTAATATTTTTCCCAAAGGTGCTTAAGAATGGGATCCACCCACAAGACGTGCTGGGACGGAGATTTGCACAATGCATGGTAAAAGCCCAGAAATGGGGGTGCTTTAATGCGTTGTCACCGAGCATTCTAAAAAGCAAGTGTTAACAGAATTTGGAAAAAGTACATGAAGTCACTGGAGGAAGAGGAAGAGAAAGGACACTGTGGCAAAAGGAGGAGCACATGAAGCTTAACCAGGCTGTAGCAAAGGCGATGTTTTAGGAATGCACGTATAAATGTACTTACAGAAAGCATACTCACTGGATTGGAGGGGTAGGAGAATGAAAAGGCAAGTGGAATTTATATAATGGAAAGCCTCTATGCCATGCTAAGTCACAATCTAAGAAAAACTGAATAATCAGAAGATGTTAGTCATGGGTGCAGTGTGTTCATAATTCCATACCATGGAAAGTGCCAGAGAATGGCCCGAGTGCTTGGGCTTGTGCAAGCATGGGAAGACGTGAACGAGCCCCTGGCTTCTGGCTTCTTCCAGCTTATCCGCAGCCATCCCAAGCATCTGGGGAGTGAATCAGTGGATCCAAGATCAAGCGTTTTCTCTCCCTGTAACACTGACTTTCAGATAAATAAATAATATCTTTTTTAAAAAACTAATTTCATGCAATTAAGAAAAACTTTGAAAAAGCAGAGGGAATGAAAGGGAAATGACATTGAGAATGAAGGAGAAAAGACACAGAAATCTCTTAGGAGGTGGTTGTAATGAGAGTATTCCCCAATTAAGTTTCTCTGAAATATCAAAGGTATTGAATACTAAGGCAAGTATACTGGAGAAGGAGGGGAAAATTACTTGAGAAATATTGAAGAAGAATTGAGGTGGCCAGTATGACACAACAGTGTAAGCCACTGCCTATGACACCAGCATTCGCTAAGATTACTCATTTAAGTCCTGGAATCTCCACTTCTGATTTGGCTCCCTGCCAATGTGCCTAGGGAAACAGTGGAAGAAGATCCAAGTGCTTGGGAATCTTCCACCAATGTTTGAGACTCTGATGGAATTCCAGGTTTCTGGCTTTGCCTTGGCCCAACCCTGGGCTGTTGTGGCCATTTAATGAGTGAACTATCATATGGAAATACTTGATATTTGAAATTCACTGGATGTATAAAATTAAAAGGGGGGGGGGAAGATCATCTCATCATTTCTGAGACAGCTCAAGCCTGCTAAAATCTTGTGTGAGGTCCAGAGGCAAACCTTATGGGGCCATTCTCCCTGAGGCACCATCTCAGCACCATCTCACTGCCCCATGATTGTACATACACTGTTGGGAAACTTATCATTTGTCAATACATCTTCAACTGGGCAACACAGGAATTGCCCAGCCACTTACTGATTGGTTAAAAACCACCAATGGGAAAGGTCTTCTGCACATTCCCACCCAGACAAGAGTCCGGGGAACCCTTCAAAACCCAAGACACTTTCAGAAACATTTCTCTCTCTTTCTCCCTCTCTCTCAAGAGATGCCACATCTTCTGAATCCCTTCTGAGGAGCGGTACTTGCCCCAGCCTTCTTTTTATGTGCATTTGCTCACTTCATGAATGAGACTTCTCTGTCTTCAACCAATTCTGGGCTTTTTATTTCTATATTGAGCTGAGGAGAGAAGATTTGCCAATAATAATTCTAATCTTACGATAAAATTAAATCAATCGCAGTTTAAGAATGGGGGTAGTGAGAAGAAGGAACAACGTGACAATAAAGTTAGTTTTGTACTTGCCTTTTTTTAATGATTATGAGATACCTATTCTGGTATTTCACAGGTACCTGAGACTGTGAGCTATGGGTCCCAGCAGAGTTCCAGTTGGAGCTACTGAAGGAGATGTGCTGATTCACTAAAGCTGTGGAGTAGTACAGACTGCCTGTTTTAAAGAAATAGGCAGAAAAATAAAAAACCTGAAAAGAAAGGGGAGACAGATAAGAAATAAACCAGGGACAGATGAACTAGACAATGAAAGGAAGAATTTTTAAAGAAAGGAACAGTTCAAGTAAATCAAAAACTTTCAGTTGCGCATTCGACTTGAAGTGGTTGAGGAACTTGAAGAAGAGGCAAAATTTCCATCATTCAAGGAACTCTCATGCAACTTGCAACTTTAGAATTGGACCATATTTCATTCCATAAGATGGAACAAGTGTTCCTGTGGGCTGAATAGAAGAGGTTTAATGTTATAAGCAGAGAAAGCGTAGAGAGAGCCGAAGTCAGATCTGTGTCTTTAAAGATGTTTGCTGGGAAAGGTAGGGATGGGGAGGCAGAGCTGTGGGAGAAGGTGGTTTCAGTCAGAATAGTTCAGCTTGCTTGTTTTATTTAAGGAGTAAAGCAGAAGGACTCTGCTTGCTAAACCATTTGAGATTGGACTGTTTGGGAGATTTAGTTAGTCTCTCCCTAATCCTGATTTCTCAGAAGTCAGATAACTTGCTGAATTTTAGCACCACTGACTCCACTTTGATTTTTAACCTGGTCTGTTGGGGCATAGTACTAAAACCTAATGCAATAATTATCTCTTGTGATTTGTATTTCTGCACACTAAGTGTTTACAATAATCCCATGTAGTAGGAACAGAGTAAAAGGGAAGGGAGGTCAGGAAGGAGGGAGAGCAAACATAAAATGGCTTGTCTCCAAGAAAGCATGGCTCGGTCGCTTATGATCAATGACTTTGGAAATGTTTCAGACAAGCCTTGGAGAATCACTACGACTTTGGACAAAATGTAGAGGTGTAAGGGAAAGGAGATAAAGGACAGGACACTACTGCTGCCTTCTTTCCCTCTATGACTCAATCAAACCCAGCCCGGGGACATTAAGTACCTACACTTCTGTGTGTGTTACCCAAGCTTTCTGGAAAGTCAGATCCAAATCAGAACCATGGGTAGAGATGGGCAGTAGGTAAGGGCTGGTGTTGTGAAACAGTGGCTAGGCCATCTCCTGTAAGGCTAGCCTCACATAAGAGTCCCAATTGCTCTACTTCTGATCCAGCTTCCTGCTAATGGGCCAGGGAAATCAACAGATTTTTTATAAGCCAAGGTCCCTGCTGACTGAGACATCCTGGGAATGAGTGATGAAAATAGTGGAGGCCCCAAGGCCTAAGGAAATCCAAGGAGATTATAAACTACAAAGGAAAAAAAAATCAAATAGCCAAAACTTACATTTGAATATCAAGGAAATAAAAGCCCACTTACAATCAAAACAACACTGAAAGAGCTTCCCAGAATAGTTGGGAAGAAATTAGGATTCCACCTGCTGCCTAAAGTGTGAACTTTGGTCCCTTCCACCCTTTGATCTCCAGTATCTGTAACAACCAAGACCAGAAGATGGTTACATTGGAACTAGAGGTTCCAGGTGCATGTCAGGAAGTCACTAAACTCTCAGTGGCTCAACATTTCCATTCCATCTGTGCAGTTTTTCTTCTTTCTTTCTTTCCTTCCTTTTTTTTCTTTCTCTCATTCTATTTTTTCCTTTCTCTTTATCTGTTTTCTTTGATTCTATTTTTCTTTCTCCTTCATTCTATTTTTCTTCCTCTTTCTTATTCTTTCTTTCCTTCCCACTCTCTTTCTTTCTTTTATCTTTTCATCCTTTCTTTATTTCATTAGTGGTACACCCTTGTTCTTCATTAAAACATGAGCACTTACTTTGCCAACCCTCCTCAAAACACTGATGCAAAGCTATCTGGGTCTGTGTCTCTCAAACT